CACCTAAAGAAGGGGAAAACATCTCAGTTTACAATTCAAGGTGGCAACAAATGGATGTCTTCCAAATAATGGAGAACAACAAGGCAACAAGAAGCACAAGATCAAGTTTGAAGATATAGATAGGACTTTTTGTAATCCATAGATCATAGTCTAGTCTAGCTTCTTGTTTTATTTTGACATGGTGTAATAAGGAGGTTCAGCAAGCAGTAGCAGCAGCAACAACAACAACAACAACAGTGAAATCACAGCTTCGTGGTAGTCCTAGTTACCAAAATTTCCCGAACTACACTGACCTGATTCCTTTTTAGCCAAGGATATGTAGGCAACTTCTGAAGTAGGGAGCGGTCAAATCTTTCCAAAAATGCTTCCCACGGAGTATTCAAGCGGGCAAATATCGCTCGTATCCGCTCACTTATCTTTGCACGAAAACTCTTCGTGTTTCCGGGCAAAAAAGGGCAGCTGTGAGCACGTGATTTTTGTCCTATATATATTACTCCAACAAATTCAAAACAAAATAATTTCTGTCAGTGTTTGCAATTTTGTCGGATTTTGTGGCATTTTCTGTTAATTGTTTGCATTTTGTTTGTGCATTTTAATTGATGAGAATATACAAAAAATATGTTGCATTTGCATTTAGGATTTAATTTTACATTTTAGGATTAATAGACAAATTAATTATCTTATAAAAAATGGAAAAAATCACAAAAATAGTTTATTTTGCACTTTTAATTTTAATTTCGAATTTTGATAGTTTTTTCCTTTAATTTAATTTTTAATTATTGGTAGTAACAATTATTAGGGTTAATTAATTTAATATGGTTGGATAATTTGGTTTAGGATTCAATTTAAGTTTTAATTTCAATTTTGGAAAAAGAAAAAGATTTTTGTTAAAAAGAAAAATGAATTGGAAAAAAGGAAATAATGAAAGGAAAATCTGGGCTAAAACCCATTTATTTGTCCCCAGCCCAAACGAATCGCCCCAATACCCGGCCCAAACCCGCCTCTACCCGGTTCATCCCCCCAACTAAGTGAAACGACGTCGTTTCATGGGCATCAGATCAGGACTGTCGAGGTCTCTTGATCGAACGGACGAGAAGCTTGGGTCATTTAATATATTAATGTCCAAATGTTACCCTCCCCCCCAGCTTTCGTCTCTCTCAAAGCCCCTCCGAGAAACCCTAGAAGCCGCCGGAATTCCCCACCACCATTGATGGCGGCGGCGGCGTGCAATTGCCACCAAACTTACACTAAACACTCCCCTCCTTCTCCTCTTTCCGAATCTACAAATCCCCACACTCGAATCCTAACCCAGCCTCTCGAATCTTGAATCGAAAGAAATGACCGAAAACCTAACTCATCCGATTGGCTCCAAAATTACACCCCATAAGCCCCAGGATCCCTTCATCCCAAATCCACAACTACTCTCCTTCGAATCTGCCCGGAGCTCCGCGAATCTTGAATCTGAGGTCAGGCCCAAAAGTTCGAAACCACTTTTTCGTCAATCCTGGTACATGCATGGTTAGAAGGCCCCGTTCTTCGAGTTTTGAAGTTCAAACGATTGACCTTAGCTTTGATTAGGGCTTTTGTCTCCGATGGATTTCGAATCTAAGGATTAGAACCATAAGGATTTCTTCTATAAATATTTATTGATTTGTATGCAATAACTTCTAGTTTAGGGTAGCTTTTGTATTTTATATTTATTTAAATTTTGGAAAATTAGGCTTTATCATTCTTTGGGAAAATGGTTATGGAGAATACTTTTATTAGTTTTTTTAGTAAAATCTAGCTTTTAATTGCTTCTTGTTGCCTGAAAAATATTTTGGTTAGATTTATGAGATACTAAACTCATAAAAACAAGAGATTTTTGTATATTGCCTCTGGTAACTGTGGGGACAAAAATAGGAAATAATAAATGTCAAACATCTCCACTTTATAAGTGCATTCTCAGTTGACACATACAAATTGACATTTCCATACACTGCTTAAAAAATAGGAATTAGCGCTGGACTATTTTTGTAGCTAAATAAAAAAATATGACGCTAATCCTATAACGATAGATTAGCGATGGATTAGCGATAGACTATCAAAATATTCTGTTAGCTACTAGTAATGTAGCGACAGATTATCAAGGAATTGTGTACGAGCGGTTTAGCGACAGATTAGTAACTAAGTTGATAGCTAATTCCAAATTTTATTGGTGACATTTTGCTAGTGCATTCTCAATCAAATTAAACCCCACTGTTTTTCTTTTCTCTGAAAACGAAACTAATGGAATTTCTCACCATTATTTTCAGTAAAGGAAGGCCTAATGGAGTCTCTTACAACCCATCTGATAATGTAACAACAACAATGGCTCGATTTCGTGCTATCCTAACTGGTGTTGCTATAATTTCCATTGCTTTCAGAGGTCACAATGTTGTTTTGGAAATACAGGTAAATATTATTCTCTCTTCGTTCTAATTTATGTGATACTCGTTTACCACTAGTGCTTGCATTAGGCTAGATTATTTACATCACACCATTTGGGTTGCGCCCTTTTCGGACCCTGTGTGAGTGAATAATACTTTGTGCTCTGTAGTGTCCTTTGTTTTCATTCTTAAATTTATGTTATGTTATACACGGAGCGGATTTAGGCGGCAGAAGGGTGTTTAGCTGAACTCCCTTCGCCGAAAATTTACACTGTGTATATTTTTTTTTTACCTCTATATATTATATTTTAAATCTCCTTGATTCAACCCAAAATCATAGCTCAGTGGTCAAAGGAAGTTAAAAATCTTTGAGAGGTTACTGATTCAATTTCCACTAGCCATGAAGTTATACCATTGCTTTATGATTGTATTGTTGAAGAAGTGGATGTATCTAAAACTATTTCTTTTTTCCTGTTTCTCTATTGAAATTTATATAGGGGACATTACCTACCAATCCAAAACATCCTACACGGACTAGTATGCGGAGAGGAGTTATATCATCGTACTCTTTTATCGCAGTGTGTATATTTCCCCTGGCAATTGGAGGATATTGGTCTTATGGAAATCTGGTAATTTTTCTATATATTATGCTTTATACTCCGTAGCATTCTTTAAATCCTCACAAATGACTTACTTATGCAATATATTTCAATGACTAACTATTCCCATAAGCTAAATTAGGGGTGGATCCAGAATTTATGTTCTATGAGTTCAATTATTAAGATTTTTTGTATTGAACATAATACATTTTTAAATCTCTAAGTTTATACCTCCTATATATCCGCTACAATTTTAATAAAATTTTACACATAAATTTCACGTCGAAAGTATCGGATCTAGTTGCAATTTTAATAAATTTTTATACATAAATTTGTATTTCATATCAAAGTATCGGGTTCAGATAAACACGCTACTGATACACTGCATCCGCCTTTGAGCTAAGTTGAGGGACATAATCAAAGGTGAATATTCATATAATTAACTTCTAACTTACTTGAAATTAAGGCGTATTTTTAATTGGTTTGCAGATGCCTGCAAGTGGAACTATGGCTGCAATTGCAAAGTACCACCAAGAGAGCACACCAAAGTGGTTAACAAGCACAATACACATAATGGTGATAATCCAATGCTTATGCGCATTTCAAATATACGCAATGCCCGTATTTGACAACTTTGAAAGAATATATGTAAACAAACAACACAAGGCGTGCCCAAGATGGGTAAAATCAAGCATCAAACTCTTTTTTGGCGGATTGACATATTTCATATCAGTGGCATTCCCATTTTTGGGAAGTTTGGCTGCTTTTGTGGGCGGAATTGCGCTGCCTTTGTCACTGGTTTACCCTTGCTTCATGTGGATTTCAATCAAGAAACCTAGCAGAAACAGCTTAATGTATTGCCTCAACATGATTCTTGGATATTTGGGTATATTGATTAGTGTTTTACAAGTTGCTGGTGCGTTATGGAATCTCGTGGTTCAAAAATTCGACGCCAATTTTTTTAGTCCTTAGTACAACAACAATAACATACCACTTGTGAATTCCTGCAACTGGGGTCCGAAGAGAATAAGATGTATGTAGTTTTACCCCTATCTTAGGCAGAGAGGCTATTTTCGAGAGGCCTAAGAAAGTTTTTTAGTCCTTAGTGAAAGAAAAAGAAAAAGATTTAACTTACACTGACAGTATAATAAAATTTTTGCACTATTAGTGCAATTTAGTGAAATGTAACTTATGACGGGAGTTAATTGCCTTTAATTTTTTGATTGTATGCTAGTTCTACTTATTATGAACACTTAAATATAATTATAATTAAATTACCTTGTATCGAAATACACTTAAGTCAAAAGAAGTTTGCAAACTTCTTATAAAAGAACTTTACACATGCATTGTGCTGTTGATGGGAAAAACAACGAAATAAGTGGAACACATCATACATTCCACTATGTTTATGTGTAACTGAGCCCTTAACTTTTAATATGAAGCACAAGTGTATGTGTAAAAATCTACGGAAATTGCAATGGATGGTAAAATATGAACTCATAACTTTAAAAATATAAAAATATAATGGGTTCAATAATAAGAACCTTCAAGATTCCTAGATCCGCCTCTGATTAATACATATATGACTTAGTATAGGAAATGATATAACATAATAAAGCAAAGAAGGGTATTTTAGTCATTTCACTCACCTAGTAGTTAGAAGTCAGAATTACGGTTAGAAGGTTAGTTAAAGTCTAAGAGTTAGTTAAGTTGTTAATTAAGCTAAACTAACAACTATATATATATATATCAACATTGTATTATTCTATATTGATTTTAAATAATGAAAAATCACTAACTTCTCTACCTTTGTTTCTTCTGTTCCTTCTCTCTTTCGACTGATTAGTCATTTTCTTGATTTCTTATTTCTTCAATTGTCTCAATAATTTCATGGTATCAGAGCATTGAGCAAAGATTAATAGCTCAGTGTTCGATTCTTGTTTTTCTACAAAATTTCAGTCTTCTATCTACAGATTCTTGAATCTTGTCATCTATGGCGATTGAAGATATTTTGACTCCAGATGGGACTCAATCTCCACATGCAACAGCTGTTCCACAAGGAATTAGTGGAAATCAAGTCCCAGGGAATGATTACAATCACCCATTGTTTTTGTCGCCGGCAGATGTAAGTAGAATTCAGATTATATCCTTTCAATTGACTGGGATTGAAAATTATTCTATATGGTATCGATCAATGAGAGTAGCGCTGCTGGGTAGAAACATATTGGGACTAGTCGATGGGTCTTGTTCGAAGGAAAATTTTCCAAAATGCACTTGGAATCACTAGGAAAGAGTTAATGCTATAGTGTTGTCTTGGATGATGAATTCTGTTCCACGTGAATTACTTGGGGGTATAATGTATGCCTCTAGTGTACAAGCTGTGTGGAGTGACTTGCATGAGAAATTTAACAAGATAGATGGATCAAGATCATTCAATTTGCATAAAGAAATTGCTATATTGAATCAGGGAACAACATCTATATCTGTGTATTTTTCAAAACTCAAGGACTTGTGGGAAGAGTTTGAGGCTCTCGTTCCTGCTCCCAGACGTGATTGTGCAAAATCTAGGGAGTTTGTAACCCATTTGCAGAAGTTGAAACTGTTTCAATTCTTGATGGGGTTGAACGAGTCTTATAGTCAAGCAAGACGTCAGATCTTGATGATGAGCCCAACACCAATTGTTAATCAAGCCTATGGTTTAATCATCAATGATGAAGGTCAAAGGTCTGTGGCTGCTACAACAGGTTTGTTGGGTGCAAATCTAGCAACGTATGCAAGTCACTATAATGTGGCCATGTACACCAGAACTGGACATGGAAGAAATCAGAAGTTCAGAAAGAATTACAATGTGCAATGTGAATTCTGTAAAATGAAGGGACATAGCAAAGAAAATTGCTACAAAATTGTCGGCTATCCTCTAGAATTCAAGAATAGGAAGAAAGGGGGAGTTGGTGTTGGTAATTCAACCTACAATGTAATGACTGAAAGTAATGTTCAATTTAGGAATACTGGTTTCAATGGATTTACTGATGGGAATTCTCAGATAAACCAGCCCCAAACTGTAGGAAATGCAATTAGTCAAGGTTCGAGGTATACTAATTCAGAAATGGGACAATGAGCTACTTCTACTCAGTTAAATGTTCAAGGACTGCCTCCAATAACAACTTGCATCTTCTCAAAGGAGCAATATGAGCAAATTCTCCACATTCTAAATAAGTCTTCAAGTGTCAATGAATCTGAAAATCCTACAGCTAATGCAGTAGGTATTAGTCTTGCTTTATTAGCTTCTACTAGTCCACAAGAATGGATAATTAATACTAGTGCCACAAATCATATGGTGGTTGATATAAATCTATTGAATAAGAATTCTGCCATGCAACCAGAATTTTCAAAGAGTGTGTTTCTACCTAATGGAGATATTACACATGTGGCACATACTGGTTCCAGTAATATTACAAATAGTATTACTATTACTACGTGTTTCATATACCTCAGTTCAATTATAATTTACTGTCTGTTTCTAAGGTCACTAAAGATTTAATGTGCTCAGTTGCCTTCTTTCCTAATATTTGTATTTTTCAGGATCTCTTCAATGGACAGGTGAGAGCGATTGGTAGAGAAGACAGTGGATTATACATACTCAGTGGAAGTCTACATATAGTTAGATCCAGTGAAGAAGTTTTGTATGCAACAAATGAGTCACCAGTAATAGTTGAGGTCAAAACAGATGAAGATATAGATCTATGGCACAAAAGATGTGGTCATATACCAGTCTCAGTACTCAAAAGAATACTTTCTTCTGTAAAGACTGAAATAATAGTTGAAAGGATAGACAAATGTACAATATGTCTATGTGCAAAACAAACAAGACTACATTTTCCAATCATCAATACAAAATCTACTGTTTGTTTTGAGTTAGTACATGTTGATCTATGGGGGCCTTATAAGGTGTCTACAATTTATGGAAATAAATATTTTTTAACAGTTTTGGATGATTATACTAGATTTACTTAGATTTTTTTGCTGAAATTAAAGTTAGACATGAGCACTGTTTACATAAATTTATTTCATTAGTCAAGACTTAGTTTTAAAAGTTAATCAAAGTAATCAAGACTGATAATGGTACTGAGTTTGTGAATTCAGTATGTGAAAACATGTTCCGTAATCTAGGGATTATACATCAAAAGTCATGTGCTTACACTCCTCAGCAAAATGGAGTGGCTGAGAGGAAACACATACATATTTTAGAGGTTATAAGAGCTGTCAGATTTCAGAAAAATATACCAATCAAGTTCTGGGGGCAATGTGTGTTAAGTGCAGTATATCTGATTAATAGAATGCCAAACACAGTTATATGCAACCAAACACCATATGAGAGGTTGTTTGGTAAGAAACCCAACCTAAGCCATTTAAGAGTTCTGGGATGTTTAGCCTATGCAGAAATAGTTCCAGAATAGGACAAAATGAAGCCTAGATAAAAAATGACAGTTCGCATGGGTTATGATACAGATCAAAAGGGGTATTTACTATATGATTTAGAAAACAAATATATTCTTGATAAGTAGAGATGTTAGCTTCAGGGAAGACATATTCCCATTTAAAAAGAATTCTGAAAACTCAGCTACAACTATATTTGCTCAAGATAGTAGTGTTCAGAAGTTACTCTATGAGGCAATTGAAACAAACAGTCAACCATTTACAAACTCAAGCCAAAGAGTAGCTGAATCAGATAAGAATCATCATACTTCAACTCCTGAACTAATTGATCAGTCAAATGAAATCAACTTAGACACACAATTCTTAGTACATCAAGGTGAATCATGTCAAGCAGATCACATAATTGAATCTCAGCAACCAGGTATGATTCCTTCTACTCAACCAACTCATATTATCTCTACAAATCAGAATGAGCTCAGAAAATCTCAAAGAGATAAAAGACCTCCTCTTTGGCTTCAAGACTTTGTATCTCTCAACACCCATCAAGATACATCTTATGCTCTAAATAAGTACATTATTTATGAAAATATTTCACCTAAGTATCAAGACTATACTTCTTCTATATCTTTAGTCATAAAACCTAACAACTATGCAGAGGCCATCAAAGATCCTAGGTGGATAGAAGCAATGCAAGCTGAAATTAAAGCTTTACAAGACAATCATACATGGGATATTGTTAATCTACAAGAAGGAAAATATCCAATAAGTTGTAAATGGATATATAAGATCAAGTACAAAGCCACAAGGGAAGTTGAAAATTTCAAAGCCAGATTAGTGGCTAAAGGATTTAGTCAATAAGAAGGCATTGACTATCAAGAAACATTCAGTCCTGTTGTAAAAATGAAGACAGTCAGAACTGTCCTAGCCATTGCAGCTCAAAAAGAGTGGCATATACATCAAATAGATGTATATAATGTCTTCCTTCAAGGTGATCTTTATGATGGAATTAATATGCAAATACCACAGGGTTTTAATAGTCAGGGGGAGAAGAAGTCAGTATGTCGACTTGTTAAATCCCTACATGGTCTGAAGCAAGCTCCAAAGCAATGGAATGCTAAATTAACTGAGCCTTTACTGGGGTACTCATTTCAGCAAAGTCAGTTTGATCACTCTCTATTTTTCAAGAAAACTTCTGAAGATACAACTATAGTGCTTGTATATATTGATGACATGCTCATCACAGAGATAGTCTTAGTTTGATACAAAACACTAAAATAGCTTGGCAAAATGCTTTCAAGATGAAAGACCTAGGTAAGTTAAAGTACTTCCTAGGCATTGAGTTTGCTAGATCCAAACAAGGAATCTTGATGTATCAAAGAAAATATGCTCTAGAAATCACCTCTGAAGCTGGTCTAGGTGTTGTTAAACTAGCTATTATACCTATAGATTACAATACAAAGCTCACAACAAAGGAGTGTGATGACATCATTAAGACAAATAAATTAGAAACAATCACTGAAGAAAAAGAAATGGAGGATCACACTCTTTATCAAAAGTTGATAGGAAAGCTACTTTATATTACTATGACTCGGCCAAATATTATTTTCAGTGTTCAAACTCTCAGTTAATTTCTTCAGAATCATAAAAGGTCTCACATGGAAGCAGCACTCAGAGTAGTAAAGTATTTGAAGAAATAGCTTGGACAAGGTGTTCTTCTGTCGAGCAACTCAAATAATATAGTTATGGGATTTTGTGATGCTGACTGGGCTTCTTGTCCTCACACCAGAAAATCTATTACAGGTTATATAATTAAACTTGGAGATTCACTAGTGTCATGGAATTCTAAGAAACTTACACTAAACACTTCCCTCCTTCTCCTCTTTCCGAATCTACAAATCCCCACACTCGAATCCTAACCCAGCCTCTCAAATCTTGAATCGAAAGAAATGACCGAAAACCTAACTCATCCGATTGGCCCCAAAATTACACCCCATGAGCCCCAGGATCTCCTCATCCCAAATCCACAACTACTCTCCTTCGAATCTGCCCGGAGCTCCACGAATCTTGAATCTGAGGTTAGGCCCAAAAGTTTGAAACGACTTTTTCGTCAATCCTGGTACATGCATGGTCAGAAGGCCCCGTTATTCGAGTTTTGAAGTTAAACGATCGACCTTAGCTTTGATTAGGGCTTTTGTGTCCAATGGATTTTGAATCTAATCGGTGAGTTTTCTTAGTCTTTTGTTCGTTCTTATTATTTCACCTTTTATTCTTCTTTTTTTTTTCTCCGGGTATTTGGGCCTTCTTCTAACTGAAATTAGTTTCAAACCTAGTTCCCCCCCCCCCAGGTAAATCTGTTTGTTTGTATTTATTTCCCTTCATTTATTTTTCATTCTTCTCAATTTCTATTAATTGTGCCCTGATTTTGTTTGTCCATTTTTGTTTAGTTTTAGGTTTTAAGTTTCTGATTTTCCCCCTCCTTTTTCTCACTAATTTTATATGTTGTAGTATTTTCTACTTTCATTTGCTTAGTTTTTATTTGTTTCTTTTTCTGATGATCTTTAGTAGTCAAGTGCAATGCTGAGTTTGATTAGTTAAATTCGATGCATACCTAAAATCAGAAGTGTTTGAGTTTGCCTTCCAGTTTTGGATTTGTTCTTTTTTCTATGGTTCCGTTTAATCGCTTACGAGTATTCAAGCCTCTCATAGTAACTATGGTCACCCCTAACCTAGTTAAGAGGCTGGTTTATTTGGACTGTGGTTTAGCTTAACCATAGTTAATAATTGAGGGGTAAATAACAAGGGTTTTTAAGGGTAATCTGAGAATTGTAAGTAGAGAATATCTTTATAACTGATTGAGGAAGCTTCTAGGAAGCTGGGGAGGGGATTGTTTTGCAAAAAACAGAATTTAAACTAGGGGTGTTTAAGCAACAATAAAAATCAGGGAGGGACCAGAAGTACAAAGGGAAACTTTTGGGTCTGCCCTATTTGCTGGCCTATAAAGGCATTCTTACTGGCCTTGGTAGGCAAGGATGAAGAGCTAAAGAGAAAAACCTGAAAAATCAGAGAAAAAGCAACAAAAAAATGGCAAAGAAAGACTGAAGACTCTTATTCCATTAGAAATTTCCTGCAACTCTTGAAGTTTTCTTTTGTTTTCTGAGAGCTCATCTGATTTATCTGGATTGGAATGTGGTTCAAATTGGGAGCTGGGGCTTGTTTCTGTTGCTATTGATCTGTTACTGCTGTTTCCTCTTAAATTTCAAGCTAATTTCTGGTCTTTTGCTGATATTTAGGTACATATTTCTGCATTTCCCCCTAAATGTAAGGCTTGATTTGGAATCAGAAATGGAAACCTGGAGCTTTGAGTCGTATTCATCATTAGTTGGTTCATAGATTAGCTTACTTGTTCATTTTGTTTATCTGCTCTAGTTTACTGCCCTTCAAACTATAGATATGTGATTAAGGACTAAGCTCTGAATATCATATGATGTGGTAGCTCAGTCGATGTCTAGCCTTTTTGAAATATAGTCATTTATATTGTTTGTTTGTGTTAAGGTTGGTATTTGGATTGGTTTAAATGCAGCTGATTCGAAATTCCTTCTAAATAAGTACTAAGTAAGGCTTCTAAGGATATTATGGTATGGATTTAAATTTGGCATGCAAGTTGGATAGATGATTCAGTGTTATAGCTTCTGAGTTTGATTTGTGTAGTGAGTCTCAATACTACTGGACGTCTGTTTTCCTATAGCAAGGGTCAAGGTGTGATTCAGTTTAAATTAGTTTTACGTTTAGCTTAGTTAATTTCAGGCTTTAAACCTTGTGTCACAATCTTCTAGTGCATTGTCTTGTGGAATTCAAATGAAGTATTTGTGTCCTTGGAGAATTGTGATCTAAACAATGGATTTATGCTTCAGCGAGTTGTAAAACTCTTTTTAAATTATGTGGGGCTTTCATTGGCATTGATAAGATCACGGCTGGGATTTGGATTTCATGTAGTGTGTTGATGATTTAGCTTGTTCGAAATGGGGATTGAATTCTTATTATTATTCCCTGTTCAGTGTGTTTTTTTAGAAGATAATAATCAATTGGATGTTGCTGCCTTTTTGGGTTTCATTTGTACCTATTACCGCATTTTGATCACGGCTATTGGGCCAGGCTAACTCTTGTGGCCTGGTCTTCGAAGCCTTTCGATTTTCATCTAACTACTGCTATTGATTTTCGCTAACAGGCGTGACCCAAACACCTGAAAGCCCGACGCATCCTTTCTTTAATAGTCACAGAAATTTAGTCTTAAATCACGTTAGTCTAAAATATTTCTTTGTAATTAAGTCGAGGTGCACCATGCCAAACCAAAATCACAATTGCATGGCCTTCGTTTAATTAAACTTGTTTATCCTTATAAATCGAGGTGTGCCATTTAACAAATTTCTATGACCCTCGCATTAACATTAACCTAGTATAAAATAACCTTAAACACTCGTAGTCTGCTTTAGGTTTAACTTAGACTACTATCGCGACTGTGTATACGTTCGCGTAACATAGTTGCGAATCCAATTCTAAAAGTAACTCGAGGTATGCGTTCGTGCAACTTCGGCCAAATCTTTCTAATAATTAATAAAGCGTTATTAATTGTGGACACGTTCGCGTGACATGATTTTTGACGCGCCAAACAAATGGGTACACGTACGCGTGACCTGTTTAAAGATTTGTTTTATTAAAAGAGGCAAATGCACATAGGTTCTAAGTTCATCAATTAAACAACTTAGTTAAGCCAAGTATGATTAAAGCGACCGTGCTAGAACCATGGAACTCGGGAGTGCCTAACACCTTCTCCCGGGTTAACAAAATTCCTTACCTGGATTTCTGTGGTCGCAGACCGTAAATAGAGTCATCTTCCTCGATTCGGGATTTTAAACCGGTGACTTGGGACACCATAAATTATCCCAAGTGGCGACTCTGATTTTTAATAAATAAATAATCTTGTTTTGATTGTCACTTAAATTGAAAAAACTCTCTTTATACACCCTTTACGGGGTGTAGGTAAAAAGGAGGTATGACAACAACCACAAAACTTATGAACATGATACGTGAGACATAAGAAAACAAAAATTAAATTAACATTTGCATTGACTTGCGGTGGGTGAGCTTAACAGAAACTAACTCATCATTCCAGCTGAGAGAGTTTAATATTTAAACGAATAGATTTAAAATTAATCATTTTATTCATAACAAGTAGTAAATAATATTTATCGATTAATATTCATTGACCGCTAATATTTGTCTTTCGCGAATAAATTGGCGGCAATTAATTTATTACCGCTAAAACCCCTTTTTGTTGTAGTGTAATTGTGTTACTTTTAACTCTTGGTTTAACTTTTAAACCCGTTTATCTTGGTGGAATTTGCTAATGGTTTTGGGTTGATTTTGATGGCTAATGTGGAGCAATAACATCTGCAAGTTTGTGTTTCAAATTGAGGCCGAGAAAAGCAGAGAAAGAAGGAAATTGACAGAGGTTAAGTTATCCTTTTTAGAAATAAATCAAAGCCTTTAAATATCATATGACTGAGTTGTCACAATCTGAAGTAACCATTAAAAATTAATGGAGTAAAAGTTACCGGAACAAATTCCAACCCCTATTAATCCATCCGCGCTCCAATGCGCGCGATATCAAGGAGCATAATTTTAGGTCATTTGTCAAAGGAGGGTAGGAAAGGGAATTCTTTAGTCCGAGAACACATAACAACGGTTCATATACGCTTTTACTTGATCAATATACTAAAAATATATTTTACTAGTTCTATTTATACTAATCATCTCAAACTGAGACAATTCTTGTCAGTAGGACGGAGAGAGTATGATTGTCTTAGGGGTCGTTTGGTAGGATGTATAAGAATAAATGCTGAATAGGGCGTATTAGTAATGCTGGTATTAGTTATGCTGACATATTTCTTATCCATTGTTTGGTTTGATGTATTAAAGCATTGCACAATTTCTAAAAGAATTGTTTGTTTACAAAAATGCCCTCAAAACGATCCACACTCTAACTTTTTAAAAGAAACATATGTTGAGAAATATTTTTATATGAAAAAATTTTTAAAAAAATATTTTATTTGTCTACCTATATTGTAAAATAAAATTAAATATTTATTTATAAAAAAGGAAATATGTTAAGTATTTATTTATTTACTAGGGATATAATTTTATTTCTCACTATTTGGATTATTTTGAACTTGCATTAATATACTAACTAGCATATTTAATCAAACATAAATTTTGAAGGACAATTTTATCTTTAATTAAGCTAATGCATGCATTAAAACACATTGCATTGCTAATACCATTATTTTTTATGCATTAGTTATGCATAGGATAATAACAAATAAGATATATAATTAATGCTTGCATAACTAACGCGTAAGTTCAAAATATCTATCAAATAATATATTATTAATACACAAAGCTAATGCATACATTAACTTATCTAATGCATCTTACGAAACGAGCCCTTAGAGTATAACGACAAAGTTGCAAACTTCTTTCTTTCCGTTAAATAAATAAATAAATTAAGACATGAAACATTGACTATTACTTTGTGGTCTCCGAAAAAACAAAAGGGATTTAGTTTCATAAAGGAATAAGAATGTAAGCAGGGAAGTCACATGATTACGTATAATACAACAGCATTATCATAGCTAATTTATGTCACATACTGACGTGGGTACATACGTAAGCGCACTCAAAGATATCTCTCTATATATAACACCATTTATTTAGGAAAACAATAACCACATCGTCTCTCTTAATATAATTTCATAGCTTAATTTCCTTCTGTTAATTCAACAGAAATTCAGAATATGGGAGATATAGAAAGGGTGTCTTCATCTTTCTCTTCGTTTAAAGTAATACCTCTTGATAATGATGATCACTTTGATAATATTCAGTCGGAAGGAAGAGATGCGCCGTCATGCATGGCGGCGGTCGACGGCGGGGAGAAGAAGGAAATGAATATTCCAGAAGAAGACATAGAAAGTTATTTGCCCATAACGGAATCAAGAAAGGGGAATGCTTATACGGCGGCGTTTCATTTATTGTGTTCTGGCATTGGAACTCCGGCACTTGTTCTCCCCTTTGCTTTCACGTCTTTGGGATGGTAAGTAACTAAGCCTCCTTAATTTCTCTTTTTTCTATTAGCCATTTATTACTACTCCCTAGATTGCACTTTAGATGACACATTTCGTTTATGGAGAGTTAATTTCACTAAATTTTAAAGTTAAATTTGACTAGTTTAACTCACTATTTTGAAATTAAAATTTAAATATTCAAAATTTTATAAAAAGTGCTATAAGTTTTTTTCCATGTCAATATGATAAAAGTATATATTTTAAATTATTGGCCAAACTTCACACGGTTTGATTCTCGACCAGCTAAATGTATCATCTAAATTGAAACGGAACTCAATTATCCATTTTTTACTTTGTGCTTCTTTGAAAAAATAAATGAAGTATGTATTTTACAATTATGATCCAAAATAATGATAGTATTTCCAAATGTCTCGAAAATATTTTGGCGAATGAATAGTTTATAATAAGGGTAAAACTTGAAAAAAAAAATTGTCTTTCTATTGATTTAGTACCGTGGATAAATAAAAATAAAAAATATATTTTTAGTACGGTGGGCTGATAATAATGAACGGAGAGAGTACTATTTTGTGATGGTTTGTTAATTATTCTTGAATGCCATACGATTTTTAGAAATTGCTGATCTGTGATTCAGTGATTCCTAATAGTAGACAAACATCAGATTTAAGATTAGGTTTTTGCAGTATATGCACTAATACATATATACATATACATACATATATATGTATATATGTGGTCTGTCTATAGTAGTAGTCTGTTTAAAGAAATTACAAAAATTCTGGTTTATTCCATATGCAGATGTATCTTCCCCTTTTTCATGCTTTTGGTGTGTTGTAAAAGGATTGATCAGACGCTGAAGGAAATTACGTACAAGCTTTTCTTTTCCCATTGTTCGATAGAATTTGAGTGACAAAAGATGACCTTATAAAAAAGAATAAATGTGACAAAAGGATTAATTAATGTTTTGCGCTCAAACGTTAAATAAAATTCTCAGACAAAAGCACATTAGTTCATAGATTATACCTCTTTCTATTTATCAGTTTGACACCAAAATGAAATTCTATTGGCTTTGTAACGTACGATCCACATTTATAACAAACTACTATAAATTCTCATTTTCGTCATAATTTGTTATAGAATTGCGATGAAAAGTTATTTCCGTCAACAAATTTGTTATTGAATTTTGATATATCATTATGTGTGTTACAAATTTCTTTCATATAGATTAATTCAGTCACAAACAGGAGGGAGCTAGCAGTCGGGACACGAGTTAGACCGGACCCATTAACTTTTATTCAAATATTTTGTATATATTAAATTTAAAATTTAGTTATTCGCCTTAGACCTTATTTCCATCGTCTTCTCATTAATTAATTACTAATATAATATATACCCGAGCCTCATGCCTTCTTTAGTTTTTTTTTTCTTCCTTTTTCACACTCATCATGCCTTATTTAATTAATCACGAGAAAGATATGCACAATCAATAGCTAGCTATTCTTTGCTGGAGGAGAGTCCTCTTACATGTTAACATTTTTCTTCTTATATCAACATTCATTTACTTTGAATAATGCTTTCTTTTGATATTTTCTACAGCGTAAACGATACAAATCTTAGATACTATTTGACAGAACAAAAAACGTAAATAATTCGCCTAAAATAGAATTTAACTATTAAATCATCTAAATGAATATATGCAATTCCTGCAGGTCGTGGGGAATAGTGATTTTGACGTTGGTTTTTGCATGGAGGCTATATACTATGTGGCTATTAGTTCATCTTCACGAATCATCCAGTGGAACTCGTTATAGCAGATACCTTCAACTCTCTATTGCAGCTTTCGGTTAGTTCAAACGAATACTCCCTACCTTTTATTGCATCTGAATGGTTTGACTCGATGCGAAAATTAAGATTTTAATAAATAATCCGTTCAAGATTTTAAAATATATCACACATTTATTTGACTATATAACATTATGTCATTAATAGTAAAACGATAATTTTAATTTAGTTTATATTTAGTTATAAAAAAGTGTAACTTTTCTTGTAATTAATAGACTAGGAGCGTGGGGTTAACAGAGGTTAGGAAGGCGGCTAATCACTCTCTTTCCACAATTACGGAAAAAGGAAATTAAATAATTAAACAAATATAGAAAGACTTGTTAGGATTTTCTATTGCGTTAAGGTTGTTGGTTGGCCTAAACTAACTTAAATCAAATACTAAAAAGGAAAAGGTGTTACGTGATGTGTCAAAAAATTGGACCAACGTATAATATGTTTTCTTATATTATCATCAACTTGGAGTTAGGTCCCTCTGATAATTCTTGATCTAATGTAATTTAATTTGGTATACTATTAAATCTGAACACCTAAATAAAATAACAATTCTATCACTGACTCATTTCTTTCTTTCTTTTTTCACTGAAGAAAATAACTAAAAAAGCTCATACTCAAATTTATAAGATTAGAAGTTTAGAACCATAAGGATTTCTTCTATAAATATTTATTGATTTGTATGCAATAACTTCTAGTTTAGGGTAGCTTTTGTATTTTATATTTATTTAAATTTTGGAAAATTAGGCTTTATCATTCTTTGGGAAAATGGTTATGGAGAATATTTTTATTAGTTTTTTTAGTAAAATCTAGCTTTTAATTGCTTCTTGTTGCCTGAAAAATATTTTGGTTAGATTTATGAGATACTAAACTCATAAAAACAAGAGATTTTTGTATATTGACTCTAATAACTGTGGGGACAAAAATAGAAAATATACATGTCAAACATCTCCACTTTATAAGTGCATTCTCAGTTGACACATACAAATTGACATTTCCATACACTGCTTAAAAAATAGGAATTAGCGCTGGACTATTTTGTGTAGCTAAATAAAAAAATATGACGCTAATCCTATAACGATAGATTAGCGATGGATTAAGGATAGATTATCAAAATATTCTGTTAGCTACTAGTAATGTAGCGACAGATTATCAAGGAATTGTGTACGAGCGGTTTAGCGACAGATTAGTAAATAAGTTGATAACTAATTCCAAATTTTATTGGTGACATTTTGCTAGTGCATTCTCAATCAAATTAAACCCCACTGTTTTTCTTTTCTCTGAAAACGAAACTAATGGAATTTCTCACCATTATTTTCAGGACCAAAATTGGGAAAATGTCTAGCAATATTCCCAATAATGTACCTATCAGGTGGCACTTGTGTTATGTCCATCATAGCAGGGGGAGGCACCCTTCAACTTTTCTACAATGCAATATGTGGAAATGATCACAATTGTCAACACAAATCTTTGAGTGGAGCTGAATGGTTCTTGTTGTTTATATGCCTTGCCATTTTAATTGCCCAGTTTTGCCCCAATTTGCACTCCTTAGCTTGGGTCTCTTTTGTTGGTTCAATCATGGGTGTGGCCTATTTTACTCTAATATGGGCACTCTCCATCAGTAAAGGAAGGCCTAATGGAGTCTCTTACAACCCATCTGATAATGTAACTACAACAATGGCTCGATTTCGTGCTATCCTAACTGGTGTTGCTATAATTGCCATTGCTTTCAGAGGTCACAATGTTGTTTTGGAAATACAGGTAAATATTATTCTCTCTTCGTTCTAATTTATGTGATACTCGTTTACCACTAATGCTTGCATTAAGCTAGATTATTTACATCACACCATTTGGGCCGCGCCCTTTTCGGACCCTGTGTGAGTGAATAGTACTTTGTGCTCCGTAGTGTCCTTTGTTTTCATTCTTAAATTTATGCTATGTTATACACGGAGTGGATTTAGGCGGCAGAAGGGTGTTCAGCTGAACTTACTTCGCCGAAAATTTACACTGTGTATATAAGAATTTTTTTTTTACATTTATATATTATATTTTGAATCTCCTTGATTCAACCCAAAATCATAGCTCAGTGGTCAAAGGAGATTGAAAATCTTTGAGAGGTTACTGATTCAATTTCCACTGGCCATGAAGTTATACTATTGCTTTATGATTGTATTGTTGAAGAAGTGGATGTTTCTAAAACTATTTCTTTTTTCCTATTTCTCTATTGAAATTCATGTAGGGGACATTACCTACCAATCCAAAACATCCTACACGGACTAGTATGTGGAGAGGAGTTATATCATCGTACTCTTTTATCGCAATGTGTATATTTCCCCTGGCAATTGGAGGATATTGGTCTTATGGAAATCTGGTAATTTTTCTATATATTATGCTTTATATTCCGTAGCATTCTTTAAATCCTCTTCACAAATGATACCCTTACTATTTACGGAGTCTAATAAATCATTTTTCAACGAGTAGTATTTTTTCGAACATTTTTGAAATATAAAAAATTTGTGACTTACGTATGTAATATATTTCAATGACTAACTATTCCCATAAGCTAAAATTAGGGGTGAATCCAGAATTTATGTTCTATGAGTTCAATTATTAAGATTTTTTGTATTGAACATAATATATTTTTAAATCTCTAAATTTATACCTCCTATATATCTGCTACAATTTTAATAAAATTTTACACATAAATTTATATTTCACGTCGAAAGTATCGGATCTAGTTACAATTTTAATAAATTTTTATACATAAATTTATATTTCATATCAAAGTATCGGGTTTAGATAAACACGCTACTGATACACTGTATCCGCCTTTGAGCTAAGTTGAGGGACATAATCATAAGTGAATACTCATATAATTAACTTCAACTTACTTGAAATTAGGCGTATTTTTAATTGGTTTGCAGATGCCTGCAAGTGGAACTATGGCTGCAATTGCAAAGTACCACCAAGAGAGCACACCAAAGTGGTTAACAAGCACAATACACATAATGGTGATAATCCAATGCTTATGCGCATTTCAAATATACGCAATGCCCGTATTTGACAACTTTGAAAGAATATATGTAAACAAACAACACAAGGCGTGCCCAAGATGGGTAAAATCAAGCATCAAACTCTTTTTTGGCGGATTGACATATTTCATATCAGTGGCATTCCCATTTTTGGGAAGTTTGGCTGCTTTTGTGGGCGGAATTGCGCTGCCTTTGTCACTGGTTTACCCTTGCTTCATGTGGATTTCAATCAAGAAACCTAGCAGAAACAGCTTAATGTATTGCCTCAACATGATTCTTGGATGTTTGGGTATATTGATTAGTGTTGTACAAGTTGCTGGTGCGTTATGGAATCTCGTGGTTCAAAAATTTGACGCCAATTTTTTTAGTCCTTAGTACAACAACAATAACATACCACTTGTGAATTCCCGCAACTGGGGTCTGAAGAGAATAAAATGTATGTAGCTTTACCCCTATCCTAGGCAGAGAGGCTATTTTCGAGAGGCCTAAGAAGGTTTTTTAGACTGACAGTATAATGAAATTTTTGCACTTTTAGTGCAATTTAGTGAAATGTAACTTATGAGGGGAGTTAATTGCCTTTAATTTTTTGATTTTATGCTAGTTCTACTTATTATGAACACTTAGATATAATTATAATTAAATTAATGACTTGATATTAAACAATTTTTAAAATTTTAGTGTATAGAAATTAAACTTAAGTGAGATATAATATCGAAGGCAATGCGAATTTTTTTTTTTAACATAAACTAGGATTTGCTAGCTGATTTAATAGTCAAATCATATAGTCAACTCTCAATAATAATAAAAAAATTCTCTCGAGATCCATGGAAGTATCAACTTTGATATAATACGATATAGACGTTATTCCTTTTGTCTCCAATAATTATTATTTATGTGTCATAGTGCCTGTTGATGGGACTTTAGTTAAGTGGTGGAATTGAGATAATCAAGAATTCTTTACAAGTTTTGTTCTGTTCTTTGGAAACTTATTATAGAATATGATTCACGGCGCCTTTTTACCTTGTATCGAAATACACTTAAGTCAAAAGAAGTTTGCAAACTTCTTATAAAAGAACTTTACACATGCATTGTGCTGTTGATGGGAAAAACAACGAAATAAGTGGAACACATCATACATTCCACTATGTTTATGTGTAACTAAGCCCTTCACTTTTAATATGAAGCACAAGTGCATGTGTAAAAATCTACGAAAATTGCAACGGATGGTAAAATATGAACTCATAACTTTAAAAATACAAAAATATAATTGGTTCAATAATAAGAACCTTCAAAATTCCTAAATCCGCCTTTGATTAATACATATATGACTTAGTATAGGAAATGATATAACATAATAAAGGAAAGAAGGGTATTTTAGTCATTTCACTCACCTAGTAGTTAGAAGTTAGAATTACGGTTGGAAGGTTAGTTAAAGTCTAAGAGTTAGTTAAGTTGTTAATTAAGCTAAACTAACAACTCTCTCTCTCTCTCTCTCTCTCTCTCTCTCTCTCTCTCTATATATATATATATATATATATATATATATATATTGATTTTAAATAATGAAAAATCACTAACTTCTCTATCTCTGTTTCTTCTGTTCCTTCTCTCTCTCTCTCTCTCGATCGACTGATTAGTCATCTTCTTCATTTCTTATTTCTTCAATTGTCTCAACAATTTCATGGTATCAGAGCATTGAGCAAAGATTAATAGCTCAGTGTTCGATTCTTGTTTTTCCACAAAATTTCAGTCTTCTATCTATAGATTCTTGAATCTTGTCATCTATGGCGATTGAAGATATTTTGACTCCAGATGGGACTCAATCTCCACATACAACAGCTATTCCACAAGGAATTAGTGGAAATCAAGTCCCAGGGAATTATTACAATCACCCATTGTTTTTGTCGCCGGCAGATGTAAGTAGAATTTAGATTATATCCTTTCAATTGACTGGGATTGAAAATTATTCTATGTGGTATCGATCAATGAGAGTAGCGTTGCTGGGTAGAAACAAATTGGGACTAGTCGATGGGTCTTGTTCGAAGGAAAAATTTCCAAAATGCACTTGGAATTACTAGGAAAGAGTTAATGCTATAGTGTTGTCTTGGATGATGAATTTTGTTGCACGTGAATTACTTGGAGGTATAATGTATGCCTCTAGTGTACAAGTTGTGTGGAGTGACTTGCATGAGAAATTTAACAAGATAGATGGATCAAGATCATTCAATTTGCATAAAGAAATTGCTACATTAAATCAGGGAACAACAACTATTTCTGTGTATTTTTCAAAACTCAAGGACTTGTGGGAAGAGTTTGAGGCTCTCGTTCCTGCTCCCGGGCGTGATTGTGCAAAATCTAGGAAGTTTGTAACCCATTTGCAGAAGTTAAAACTGTTTCAATTCTTGATGGGGTTGAACGAGTCTTATAGTCAAGCAAGACGTCAGATCTTGATGATGAGCCCAGCATCAACTGTTAATCAAGCCTATGGTTTAATCAGCAGTAATGAAGGTTAAAGGTCTATGGCTGCTACAACAGGTTTGTTGGGTGAAAATCTAGCAATGTCTGCAAGTCACTATGATGTGGCCATGTATACCGGAACTAGACATGGAAGAAATCAGAAGTTCAGAAAGAATTACAATATGCAATGTGAATTCTGTAAAATGAAGGGACATAGCAAAGAAAATTTCTACAAAATTGTGGGCTATCCTATAGAATTCAAGAATAGGAAGAAAATGTGAGTTGGTGTTGGTAATGCAACCTATAATGTAATGACTGAAAGTAATGTTCAATTTAGGAATACTGGCTTAAATGGATTTACTTATGGGAATTCTCAGATAAACCAGCCCCAAACTGCAGGAAATGCAATTAGTCGAGGTTCAAGGTCTACTAATTCAGAAATGGGACAATGAACTACTTCTACTCAGTTAAATGTTCAAAGACTGCCTCCAATATCAACTTGCACCTTCTCAATGGAGCAATATGAGCAAATTTTGCACATTCTAAATAAGTCTTCAAGTGTCAATGAATCTGAAAATCCTACAGCTAATGCAGTAGTTATTAGTCTTGCTTCCTTAGCTTATACTAGTCCACAAGAATGGATAATTAATACTGGTGCCACAAATCATATGGTGGTTGAGATAAATCTATTGAATAAGAATTTTGTCGTGCAACCAGAATTTTCAAAGAGAGTGTTTCTACCTAATGGAGATATTACACATGTGGCACATACTGGTTCCAATAATATTACAAATAGTATTACTATTTCAAATGTGTTTCATATACCTCAGTTCAAGTATAATTTACTGTCTGTTTCTAAGGTCACTAAAGATTTAATGTGCTCAGTTGCCTTATTTCCTAATTTTTGTATTTTTCAGGATTTCTTCAATGGGCAGGTGAAGCGATTGGTAGAGAAGACAGTGGATTATACATACTCAGTGGAAGTCTACATATAGTTAGATCTAGTGAAGAAGTTTTGTGTGCAGCAAATGAGTCACCAGTAATAGTTGAGGTCAAAACAGATGAAAATATAGATCTTTGGCATAAAAGATGTGGTCATATATCAGTCTCAGTACTCAAAAGAATACTTTCTTCTGTAACGACTGAAATAATAGCTGAAAAGATAGGCAAATGTACAATATGTCCATGTGCAAAACAAACAAGACTGCCTTTTTCCAATCATCAATACAATATCTACTGTTTGTTTTGAGTTAGTACATGTTGATCTATGGGGGTCTTATAAGGTGTCTACAATTGATGGAAATAAATATTTTTTAACAGTTGTGGCTGATTATACTAGATTTACTTGGATTTTTTTGCTGAAATTAAAGTTAGACAGGAGCACTGTTTTACAGAAATTCATTTCATTAGTCAAGACTCAGTTTTAAAAGTTAATTAAAGTAATTAGGACTGATAATGGTATTGAGTTTGTGAATTCAGTATGTGAAAACATGTTCAGTAATTTAGGGATTATCCATCAAAAGTCATGTGCTTACACTCCTCAACAAAATGAAGTGGCTGAGAGAAAACACAGACATATTTTAGAGGTTACAAGAGCTGTCAAATTTCAGGCAAATATACCAATCAAGTTCTGGGGGCAATGTGTGTTAAGTGCAACATATCTGATTAATAGAATGCCAAGAACAGTTATATGCAACCAAACACCATATGAGAGGTTGTTTGGTAAGAAACCCAACCTAAGCCATTTAAGAGTTCTGGGATGTTTAGCCTATGCAGAAATAGTTCAAGAATAGGACAAAATGAAGCCTAGATAAAAAATGACAGTTGACATAGGTTATGCTACAGATCAAAAGGGGTATTTACTATATGATTTAGAAAACAAATATTTTCTTGATAAGTAGAGATGTTAGGTTCAGGGAAGACATATTCCCATTTAAAAAGAATTCTGAAAAGTCAGCTACAACTATATTTGCTCAAGATAGTAGTGTTCAGAAGTTACTCTATGAGGCAATTGAAACAAACAGTCAACCATTTACAAACTCAAGCCAAAGAGTAGCTGAATCAGATAAGAATCATCATACTTCAACTCCTGAACTAATTGATCAGTCAAATGAAATCAACTTAGACACACAATTCTTAGTACATCAAGGTGAATCATGTCAAGCAGATCACATAATTGAATCTCAGCAACCAGGTATGATTCCTTCTACTCAACCAACTCATATTAGCTCTACAAATCAGAATGAGCTCAGAAAATTTCAAAGAGATAAAAGACCTCCTTTTTGGCTTCAAGACTTTGTATCTCTCAACATCCATCAAGATACATCCTATGCTCTAAATAAGTACACTAGTTATGAAAATATTTCACCTAAGTATCAAGACTATACTTCTTCTATATCTTTAGTCATAGAACCTAACAACTATGCAGAGGCCATCAAAGATCCTAGGTGGATAGAAGCAATGAAAGCTGAAATTAAAGCTTTACAAGACAATCACACATGGGATATTGTTAATCTACCAGAAGGAAAATATCCAATAGGTTGTAAGTGGATATATAAGATCAAGTAAAAGGCCACAGGGGAAGTTGAAAGGTTCAAAGCCAGATTAGTGGCTAAAGGATTTAGTCAATAAGAAGGCATTGACTATCAAGAAACATTTAGTCATGTTGTAAAAATGAAGACAGTCAGAACTGTCCTAGCCATTGCAGCTCAAAAAGAGGGGCATATACATCAAATGGATGTATATAATGTCTTCCTTCATGGTGATCTTTATGATGGAATTAATATGCAAATACCACAGGGTTTTAACAGTAAGGGGGAGAAGAAGTCAGCATGTCAACTTGTTAAATCCCTACATGGTCTGAAGCAAGCTCCAAAACAATGGAATGCTAAATTAACTGAGCCTTTACTGGGGTACTCATTTCAGCAAAGTCAGTTTGATCACTCTCTATTTTTCAAGAAAACTTCTGAAGGTACAACTATAGTGTTTGTATATATTGATGACATGCTCATCACAGAGATAGTCTTAGTTTGATACAAAACACTAAAATAGCTTTGCAAAGTGCTTTCAAGATAAAGACCTAGGTAAGTTAAAGTACTTCCTAGGCATTGAGTTT